CACCTGCAAGATACAAGATGATCATCCCCAAGGAATATAGGCCATCAGACTATGCAAGGTCAACACCAAAGAAAAAATCTGAAAGGCATCTAAAGAAAAGGGCCAAATTACCTACAAAGCAAATCCCATCAGACTAATAGATGACTTCTCAGCAGAAACCTTATAAGCAAGAGAGATCAGGGGCCTATTTTTAGCCTCCTTAAAGAAAAAAAAAAAAAGCCAGCCAAGAATTTCATAATCTGCCAAACTAAGCTCCATAAATGAAGGAGAAATAGAGTCTTTCCCAGGCAAGCAAACACTAAGGGAATTTGTCACCACCACACCTGCCATACAAGAAATACTCAAAGGAGTTCTAAACATGGAAACCAAAAAACAATACTTGTTACCATATAAGCACACAAAAATACAAAGTTCAGATATCTTATAGAGCAATTATGCAATTGAGACTAGAAAGCAACTACCTAACAATACTCAAATATCAAATGTATAGGAACAAAACCTCAAATATCAATATTAACCTAGAACATAAATGGCCTAAATGCGCCACTTAAAGGACCCAGAGAGGCAAATTAGATTTTTTAAATGACCCAACCTTCTGCTGAATTCAAGAGACTTATCTCACATGTAATGACAACCACAGGCTCAAAGTGAAGGGATGGAGAAAGATCTAGCATGCAAATAGAAAATTTAAACAGAACAGATGTTGCTACACTTGTATGAGAAGAAACAGACATTAAACCAACAACATCAAAAACAGACAAAGGAGGGCATTATATAATGATAAAGGGTTCAATTCAACCAGAAAATGTAACTATCCTACATAAATATGCACTCAATGTTGGAGCACCCAGGTTCATAAAACAAATACTACTAGACCTACAGAAAAAGATAGCAATACAAGAATAGTGGGGGACTTCAACACCCCACTGACAGCACTAGACAGATCACCACAGCAGAAAACTAACAAAGGTATACTCTGGACTTAAATCAGGCTCTTGACCAAA